ATACATTTTGCTGTGTATATGATGTATACTTTTATCTCTCAACTGGGCGCCTTAATATAAATAGCTTCAAAACATACAGGGTGGACCAATCTTGTGGAAAAGTTCGATATCTTCCTTGTTGAAAGAGATATTAAAAAAGTGTTTTAAGAAAATTATGGACAGGTTTGAGGTTAACATTTTAAAATTATTGGGAGTTATACAGGGTGTTGCATAGCTCGTGTACGAACCAAACATGTTTTTTTTTAACGATAACCCCAGTATGTTATTTTAGATTATGTTTACTCATCTTTTTTCCATTGTTCTAATATATGGTTTGTCTATGTTATATAGGGTACTTTTCAAGGAATTGACATTTTTGTGAGAGAATCGTACATAATTCAACGTCCAGCAGCCAATTACACACTGTAGACAAAAACATTTTTTTACCTACACGAATTTTATAATATGATGTATTATACTTTTTTTTAGTTATATTTTTATTATATGTTTATTCGTATACAGGGAGACTCAATACTCAGACTCTTGATTTTCTTGTTTTATTTAAATGGGACACCTTATATTTTATATCACCAGTAAAATCATCTGTCCGAAGCCTTTCATTTTTATTAAGCATTCCCTATACCTAAAGTTAATATTTATCGATATTTTTTGACAATAATAATTAAACTAGTTTTTCGTAAAATACTCTTTATAAACAATAATAAATAATATGTGTAAATATAAATAAACTCAAAAACAAACAAAACAATTAAAACATAATTATAAAAGTTGTTCAAAGTGACCTCCCATAACATCAAAACAGTTTTGTAATCGAATTTCGAATGACTGACTCACATTTCTCAGCATTTGAATATCAAGACTTTGAAATACATTTCTGATTCGAGTTTTCATGTCCTCTTTTGTCGTTGCAGACACATTATATACTTTGTTTTTTACATAACCCCACAGAAAAAAAATCAATTTTTGTCAAATCCGGTGATCGCGCTGGCCACCCTATCAGTCCTCCTCTTCCGATCCACCGTCTTGGAAAGTGATTATTTAAATAATTATGAATTACTACAGTGTGATGGACTGGTGCACTATCGTGCAAAAACCACATTTGTTGGCGAATGTGAAGGGGAACATCTTCGAGTAACGTAGGCAAATGATTTTCAAGGAAATCCAAATATACTTCACTATTTACTCGTCCTTCAAAAAGTGTGGCCCTATCACATAATCACCCACAATGCCACCCCAAACATTTGGCTATGAGTGACTATAATGTGTGGGTTTGTTGTAGAATAATAGTGAAAATTATGCCTATTTA